AAGTAACATAACAAAAATCGGAGTCTGTGTGAAAAATATAGGAGCCTGCAGAACCCCCACAGAAGGGCAAAACAGGAATCGTAATTATCAAGGAGTACAAACTGTCACATGGGAGACTGGCAGGCAGTGCCAGCGGGCAGCATATCCCTGGGGCTGTAGGATTTGGCAGAGGGAGGGCCCCGCTGCAGCCAGGGAACAGTGGGCAGAATGCTTTAGTGGCGCCTAAATTCAGTGACTGGTTGTAACCTTTTGGTAGCCCTGGCCTGACTCTTCCTTAGGTGTGTTTGTGCTGTGTGTGGGGACGTGACATCGGCTAAACAACAGCGTCAAGTACATATCCCTCGGCTGCTGACTTGATACAGAGCCTTTATGCAAAATATATTGTCGATTTGACACCCCTTTGGAAGGCCCTCAACAAAAAATACCTCCCCCACCCCCGCCCCCATCTTTGATCCCTAACCAGCCCCAGACGAGCTCTCACAACTATAACTTGGGGGTAAAGGAATCTTCCAGAGCCTTCCCTCTCAGCTCTCGGGACTCATGAGCTCCCCAGTTCCGCTGCCTCTCTACCTCGGGGTGTTTCCTAGCCAGAAGGGCAGCTTCTCCATTGAGTGCCGCCGCCCAGCCCACAGCCATGGGAAGGAGAGGTCCCGCATTGGCAGTCTGGGGTCACAGAGCTGGATTTTGTTTCTGTGGCCACAGCTTCGTGGTTGTGAACCATCTCTAGTCATCCACTGTTTCTCTCTTTGTTCGATTGCTTTCATCACAGAAGCAACAAGGATGAACGGTGGGCCCTGCTCCCCCTCCCTGATCTAGCAAAATAGAATTTCTGTTTTTCAGACACACACACACACACACCGCCCCTTGGACTAATAGAAGTCAGCCATGCAGCAGGAGGGTGTTCCTTTGGGTTTCAGGGAGGTTTTGCAGCATTTACCACACCTGGAATTGTCACCTGTGCAGTGAATTAATGTGTCTTTTCTGTTAACCTGTAGGTGCCTCCAGTGCAGGGACTCATCACTTACTAAAACTCCCAAAGCCAGCTCCTTGCTGTTCCCCTGCCAGCCATTTAACGCTTCCCCTCCGCACTCCCCCCTCTGCTCCTCCCTCCTGCCCTGGCCTCAGGGCCTTTGCACATGCTCTTTCCTTGGCCTGCGAGGCCCTTTCCCCAGGCACCTGCGCAGCACTGCATGTTTCCCTCACCTGCTGTAGTTTTTCTCCTTAGCACTTCACACTGTCGGTCATGGTGTGCATTTCGCATGCTTTCTTTTGTTACAGTGTCTGTCCCATTAGAATGTTAATTCCAAAATGGCAGGGACCTTGGTCTGTTAATGGTGTGTCCTTAGCATCTAGAACAGCACCTAGAACATAGTAGCCCCTTAATAATTAGATACTTGAATCAGTGACCACCTTTCTAAGCTAAGGCACCCATCAGCCAGCTGGGATGGGTGTTGAGTGCAAACTCTGCCAGGAGTCCAGGGAATTGCTACTTCGGCCCAAGTGAGGCCCAGGCCAGACACGGAAACAGATTGGGGGGTCCCTGATGCATCTCAAGCCTCAACAAGATAGATTATTGCATAAAATATGCTCACCTGGCTGAACTGGCCCTGGGGGCCCCTAGACCTGTGCATGCTGCCTTAGGATGTGGGTTCAGGCGTGACTGAGCTCCTTCAAACCCTCTCAGGACATTTTGGGAGGTTTACTTCAAAAGCCCATTTTCAGCACATTCTGTCTCTTTGGAATAGAAGCATATTTCCCCATGGAAGTCTGTATGTTCTGCCCTCTGTGCGGGAAGCACTGGAAATGGGGTTTTAGGAATACATTCTGGCACCTAGAAATAGGGGACGCCCCCCTTCCCGTCTCCTGTGTCTGGGTCCGTCCAGTGGGGCTTTCAGCTCTGCTGTTGTTTCAGTGGGCCAGGCCCCTTCTGCTCCCCTCCCCTCCCTCAGGGATCTGATTATCAGGTTAAAACACATTTGGCAACTAAAAATCAACCAAGTCCAGAAAGCAGAAATGAAAACCTAAAATGAGGCTCTGAAGACAAACAACAACAACAAGATGCAGGAGACAATTTCAGGGCTGTTTCATCCCCAGGGAGAGAGATTGAGGATTTCAGAATGTAGAGACCTGCAGTTTCTAGTCTCAGAGTGGGTACACCCAGCACAGTTCCCGCGTCACGCAGCCTTGCTGTGAAACGTTTCAGTGTCTTAATAGTCTCCGTGGTTTTTTTTTTCAGGAATTAAAGTTCTCAGTAGGTAAGCATCAAGATAGTAACATTATAGTTTCTCGTTAAAATTTTCTAAAAACCACACACACATAGCTTCTCAAAACGTTTATACCATTATTCGTAAACTCATACAAACACTTACAGGTGATGAATCTTCAGTATGTACCTTATCGATTAGAAATCTTTGCAAGGTGGTGTTTTCCTATTGCTAAGTGAAACAGCAGCAGCACAGTTAAGGTAGACAGTTTAGTGGCCTGTGTGTTTTTAATTCCTGGGGTGCTAATTGGGCCCTTTAAACAATGCTGTTGATTTTTCCATCCATTGTCACTGCAATCATTCTACACAAAGTCTCCTGATAAGGGGGGGTTTCCTTGTTGCCACCACACGGAACTCTGCTGTTAATCCAGTCACTGGGAAGGGAGTTTGGTATCTGCAGGTAAAAGCTAAGCGCCATTGACATTTAATTAGGGCCAAGGAAGATATTGAGCAAAACTTCAAATGAGGCCTCAGCCTGGGGACAGAAAGTCTCCAATCCAGCTCTCAGGAGAAAACAAACACAGGATGTGGGGGGACAATAGCAACAGTGGAGTCATTAACAGTCATGATCAGATAACTGACTGCTCTGTTGGTAATGGGGATTTACTAGGCTTTAGTCTAAGAAAAGCCTCTTAACACCCCGCTTTTCCAAAGAATTCCCCCCACGCCCAGAGTCAACCTAATAACTGTAGGTCAACTTGGATTCCTTGAAATCCATTCTTCTCCACATCTCTTTTCCTCTTGTAGTTGCTCGACTTCCTCCTGTCTGTTCTTTCTCCCAAGAGAGAAAAATCACTATGGCTTTTTGGTTCGGTTTGTGGGTATGATTTTTTTTTTTTTTTTTTTTTTTGGTACACGAACCAAAGAGTTATTTACCAACAACATAAAAAAAAACAAAACCCTGTATTTCTGACTAGGTGAATGGCAGAAACTCCTACCCATGATTTAGAATCTCTTCAAAGCCAGAATAAGTATGTTGTAAAAAAACAAAACAAAAAAAATCCCACAACTAGTATTCACCTTTAGAAAGACCATGAAAGGAATAAGTCTGAGAAGGTCCCAAACGTGTTTTCCAGAAATGGCCTGGTCTTCAAATGTGCAATTCATCGTCCACATGTGAGGCCTCCTGGACTGGCTTTTCCTTTTTTCTTATCTGAGGTTATAGACCTCGGGAGAGCAGGGGAGGGTTACAAGGTCAAAGTCTTTTCCTCCCTAGTACTTGCTGCTTGCTGGGAGCGGGTTGCCTGGAAAATAGATGCTTTAGAGAAGAGGTTGGGGTCAGGGTTTTAATTTTGTTAAGCAACAGCTGGTTTGAGTTTCCTTCCATTTCTATCTCCTGCTCCCTTCCTCACAAATCCATGGAGAGCAAAGAATTTGTTCAGAAGGAACCGGCAACATAAAAATACACCTCCTGTCACTGTGGTGCTTGGCGAATGCCATCTTGGTTGCAAACTGAATGTTAAGATTTTATAAAATGAACTCTGTAAGGAAATGTAACCAGACCTTTCATCAGAAACTTTCAAAATATAGGGCGTATGCCTGGAAATTTCTCTTAATAATATTTTTGAACTAAAACTTTTAGGGAAATAAGTATACTAAAGGCCTCTGGGGTATTCGGAGCCTGAGTGCAGAGAGAAGACTCATGACTGAAATATGAAAGCATGCCAAGGATGCGTTGCTTCTTTCTGGACTGGAGACCTTGTCTGTCTCCAAGTTAGTGTGCCTTCACTTGTTCAGCAAATGTTTGTTGGATTCTGCTTTGTTGAGTTGTGTGAGATCGGTTCTTCCCACAACTCTGAGGCTGTGGGGACCCAGGGGGTAGGTACAGGGTGCTCATGTGCTAACAGGTGCCTGAACATGAACTTGGCCCAATACAGCTTGAGCCCACAATTATGGCATCGTCTTCTAACAAGTTCACACATGGTTTGGGACTGAAAAATCAAGTCTGTCCAAATAATAAACTCATAAACCTAATGCTTAAAATTAGTATGTAATAATAGTGAAACGGTAAAAAAAAAAAATAGGAGTAAAACTAAATAAAAAACAGTGCATGATTTGATTTTTTTCATTTGGGTTGTGAAGTCTCCCATGCTTTTTTCCTCCTTGCAAACACAGAGAAAGGGAGAGGGAAGGAGGGGGAGAGAGACAGAGAGAGAGAGAGAGAGGAAGAGGGAAAGAGGGAAAGAGAAGGAATAAAACTCGCATCTCCAAATCAATGGCAAACCAGTAACAGATTTTTTTGTCTGGCCTCCTCAGCACACTGGCCTCAGGCTGTGTTGGTGTGTGGCTCGACAGCAATCAGAGGTCATAATTTCATTGGCAGTTAGCATCAGGTTTAATTTTTCTAGCATGTTACATTTACCGAAATGTCTGGTTTCAGTTATGGGAAGGCATTGACTGAATCAGCTCTGAGCAGCATGGTGTCCTCAGGTACCTGAGGTTTATGGAACACATATGCTAATTGTTTTCAATCACTTTCCTTTCTAAACACAAAAATGTGGTTTCTGAAGCCGAATAACAGTAGTCCTTAATGACACTGCTCTTTTCTTCTATTAGAAGAGGACCTGAAGTAGGTAAAAATGCCAATTTAACAAGACTGCCACCTACTGATTGACATAGTTGGAAAACAGTCCAATTAAAGTTGTGGGGTTTGTTTTTTTTTTAAACTCTGTGGTTTAAAAAAAAAAAAGTAAATGCTTTTTGAAAAATGACATGTAGCGTTTTAATTGCATTTTAGGAATGTGACCAAGTTCATATAGATGATGTCTCTTCAGATGATAATGGGCAAGACCTAAGGTGAGTGCGTAGAAAGTGATCAACTCCATTTTATAGTGTCATTGCTCAGCTAATTAAGATCAACTTGCTTTGGTTAACTTTGGGCTTTTCTTGCGTCTAAATAGCACATATAACTTTGGAACAGATGGCTTCCCTGCTGCAGCCACCAGCGCTAATTTATGCTTGGCGACCGGCGTGCGCGGCGGTGTGGACTGGATGAGAAAGTTGGCTTTCCGCTACCGACGAGTAAAAGAGATCTACAACACCTACAAAAATAATGTTGGAGGCAAGTGACAGCCACCAGTATCTCGCTGGGTTAGTTAAGACAGCCTAGAAAAAATTCTCAGAGCACCGCACAACTTTTGTGTCATGATTTTTTGATATAACTTTTTTAAGAGCAGTTTTGTCTGACCTGTGATTATTTCACTGTGACTTAGTGACAGGACTATTGGACTAAAGCCAGCTGCCCTGGCAAGTCTAGTCTAGTCCTGGCTCCATGACTTAATAGTAGGTGTGTGATCTGGAGTAAGTTTCTTGACCTCTGTGACATTTTGTTGTCCTTCCAATGAGGTGGGATTATCAGTCTTTGCCCAGATGACTTGCGATGGCTTATAAAAAGCTCCTTCTACCCAGTAGATGCTCTGAGCAGTAGGTGCTCTTGTATTAGTTTGGATCTTTTCATTGTGGTTCAAAATGGCTTTAGCACAAAAGGGAATGTTGTGGCCCAATAATGAAAATGTCGGGGTGGTGTTGGTTTCCAGCATGGCGAACTCCAGGTGCTCAAACAATGCCATCAGGAATCTCTTGCCTAGTTTTTCCTCCAGGAATCATTCTAGGTCAGTCCCTCCCAGAAGGTGGCAACGATGACCGCTGGTACATCCAGCTTTATATGCAACCAGTGCTTCTACTGGGTGGAGAAATATCTTTCCCAATGGATTCAGCAAAAGTTCCAAGATTGACTTTCCCTGGCCAACCCATGGTCATGCTCCTATCCTGGGAGCCAGAGGGTAGGGTTGGCTCTGTCCAAACTACATGGTTAGAGGAATGGGTGTGAGTAGGCTCCCCAAAGAAAAGAGATGACTTCTATAACCAGAAGAAGATATGCTAGGAAAGTACACTCAATAGATGTTTCCTACAATACTAAATACTTGTCAAATGCATGCTAGTATGTGAAAAATGACTTGTTCTACTATAAAGCTTGAGGGTGGTAGTAGTAGCAGCATCACATGTTGATGATTTAAAATGTGGAACAGACACACTGGTAAGGAAGTAGTTCATGTGCTTTTGAATCCACAGGTCTGCTCGGTCCAGCCAAGAGGGAGGCCTGGCTGCAACTGAGGGCCGAGATCGAAGCCCTGACGGACTCCTGGTTGACATTGGCCCTGAAAGCCCTCACACTCATTCACTCCAGGTAAGCTCGCCCCAAGCCCCTTCATGGTGCTTTTGCTGGGAAATGAGCTGTGCTAACACTTGTTCATTTTGGAGATTTATTTTTCAAGTCTTTTTTTTTTGTTCTTTCTGTTCTCATAGGACAAACTGTGTGAATATTTTAGTAACAACGACTCAGCTTATCCCAGCATTGGCGAAAGTCCTGCTGTATGGATTAGGAATTGTATTCCCTATAGAAAATATTTACAGTGCAACTAAAATAGGTGAGCTGCTTTTGTTTTGTTTCACAATGGACTCTTCTTCCTCAGGCTTTAACAATGAAAGGCATTAAATGAGACTTTTTTCCAGAATGCTAGATGCCAAAAAAACTAGACGAATACTTTAACCAATTTTATTGTCTAAATTGGTTTTAGACATGAAGAGAAATATAAATCATAACCCGTGTAGTTTTATTCAGAAAAATTCACTGTACTGGCTAACATTAAGACCGACGCATTTTAGCTACAGCCAAGTTAGCATCAATTCTAGATTATCTTATTTTTCTTTAGGCAACATCATAAAAAAATCTTATAAGCTAAAACAAATAGTAGTATAGAAATATACAAAGTAGAAATGAAACAATTCTAATAAGAGCTTTATTTAAATTACTGGTGGAACTATTTTTTGCTTTATTTTAATTCAACATGTGTAAACCATTGAGTTCCCATTTTGTTATGGGGATACAAAATATTAAGTTCTTGCAAAAAAAGAAACATAATTGAAGAAAGAAAACTAAAGTAAAACTTAGTTCGAATACAAACCAAGACAGAATGGAAGTGGGATGAAAAGAAGACATGGCTCTTGTTCTTAGAGAATTCGCTATCTAGCAGGGGAAGCAGGCAGCTAACTAACTAGAATATGACGAAGAAATATGTACATGAGCATTTATCACGTATTTATTAGAGCCCAGAACTCTACTAAGCATTTTACATCTTAAAATCAATCTTCACAGCCTTTGCATTTTACAAATCAGGAAACTAAAGCGTAGAGACAGACTTAAGTAAATCGTTCAGGTTAGTAGCTAGTAAAGAAAATGGACAAACTAGATCTCTGATTCCAAGGTCTAGACACCTTTCCACATCCTAGGAGGTCCTTCCACTAAGTGCCTGAACATGTACTTCATTGAGGAAATATTCACTTCCCCCCAGGAGGGGGCAGAGGGCAAGTGTCAGTGAAAGCTAAAGGGAAGAACTGGTATCTGAGCTGGGTATAGAACAGTAAGTATGAGTTGTCTAGACAGATGGGCTTGTGAGAGCAAAAAGACAGAGACATTAAAACATGTTCCCTTCTGAGGGACTTGTGAGTGGTCCTGCGTGACTAGTGTGCAGCCTTCATGGGAAGCTGAAGCTGGAAAGGTAGACTTGGGTCCAGTCAGAAGTGGCCTGTATGTCACCCTAATGAGATGAATATTATTTTAGTGAGTCCTGGGGAAGGGGGGGAGTGTCCTGGTAGGTGGAAAAAAGGTTGTTTTTGGCTGCTCAGCTCTTAAGAAAAAGGGGCGAAAATGGAACGCCTGTACGTCTGTCCTCTGACTACACTTTCATACCTCTTCCTCAAAGCACTACTAAATTACGGCTAAAATATCACTAGTATAGTTATTGTTTTATAGTCTGACTTCCCCACCAGATAGTTAAGTGTGTCTGTCTCACTCCTCATTGTAGCTTTAGAGTACATAGTAGGTGCTCAGTAAGTGTTTGTTGAATGAAATTTATGAATAAATGGTTGTTTACTCTAAAGAAGGCTGAACAGAGGTATCTTTTAGGTAACTGAGTCAGCAGTGACACTATTAGCTGATGGGGAATCAGATTTTATTGGAAAGAAAAGGGTTTGATCTTATCAATGTTGCGTTTGAAGAGCCTATGTGATACTCGCATAGCTCTGTGACATTGGAAATACATAGTTGGAGTTGGAGAATAACCGATGCCTCCTGAAAAGGGCCAAGAACAGAATGCTGGAAAATTCTTATGAAAAGAAAGGAACAGAATAGAATTTCTCATAGCCCAATATAACCAAAATTTTATGTTCTCATGTTCCATGAGAATAGCCATCAGTTTACATAAGTCAGGTGTTTATCCTCTCTGTATCAATACAGAGGAGTCATATTGTGTTTTGTAAAGAGGGGTCCAAGGTAAATGTTTATCAGCACATGAAAGCCAAAACAGATTCCTAAGAAGCACATGGGACAGAGGGATATTGCCTTACTTCCCAGAAGAAAGAGCAAGAAATGTATTACATCATGCACATTGAACTTTAATTCCAAATACTTCAAAAATGTTAGGTGATAGGAAATAACAACAATCAAGTATTTTTAATGGGCATTTTGTTTGACATATTGGAACTTTTTTTTTTTTACAACACAGAATAAAAATTAGAATGAAAGGAATTTGTGGTGGTAGAAATTATCTCAAAACCCAAGTTTCTATGATATTTTTAATAAGAAAAGTAGAGCTAGAAACTTCTATAGTTAATGCTAATGTTGCCATGAAGTGAGGTATAATATGGGGACCAGCACAGAAAACCTGGGCATTTTCCTTGTAGGCCAATGTCAAAGTCATAGGCGAAGAAGACTGGTGTCTCCTGTAACAGCTATGATGTTCTTTCCGACAAAAATGCACCGGTCAAAATGGAAACTGCAGACAGGACCTCAAATTAACTTCTAATAGTTTTAATTTTTAAATCTTTATTGGGCAAAATGTCTGCATGACCCCAAATTCACAACGAAGCCTGTAGGAGACAGCATATAGGTGAGAATTTTTTTGTTCACCACAGCCTCACCTTTAAGAAAACAATGAGTTTACTTCTCCGTTTTCCATGCGAAGGACACTTGACAAAAAACCCGATAACATTGCCCTCTGAGGAGAAAAAGGTAGTTTCACTGCAACCCAAGTTTTGGGTTGTATATTTTTGCAGTGAAAACTGTACTTTGTATTTGTTTCTTAAAGTGATTTAACATTTCACAGTTTAGTGGGTGACTAAAGAAGCATTGAAATGACATCTTTGACTAAGGCCGGCCCTATTTTTGTTCTGCCAGATGCAAACGAGATATTTTAGTGCAAAATGCAAATATAAAGCAGACATTTGTTTAAGCAAACAAGCAATTTGTTCCCGTGTATATCTGATCCTTATTTGAAAGAGACGCAGGCCCCGCTCAGCCATTCACAGTGGAACACTATAAACTGCCCCATTGTCCATTAAAATGACCCCATTGGCAGCCCTGGACTGGGAGCACCGGCTTCTTCTCTAAGAAGCAACAATGGCTGCATTAAGAGCCGGGTGTGCTGACAGTGCAGCCGCCATGGGAGCCCAAACCAAGTCATGACATGGGAAAGATAATAGATAGATAAAGGGATTCTGTTCCCTTTACCTGCTTCTCCTCTAGGAAGGGGCTGTATTGAACATGAGATGTCTGGGTAAGGCAAGCATGATCTCCCTGAAGTGCCCCAAATGACCTGACATTTATTGCAGAAACAGGTTGATGAGAATATTTCAGGCAAACATGTTAGGCTTTTGGAGGGGGAGGGTCTTTAATTCAAATACAATCCCACCTGAAAATGAAGGGGTGAATTCAATAGTGTTTGATTGCTCCATTTTTTCCCATCCTTATCGATAGCCTTTGGATCAAACATGATTTTCGGAGTTTAAAAGATCATGAAACAATTTTACAGTCAAGTTAAAATGTGTTGCCAGAATGACATGCCTTTGTTTAGTCTCAGCTTGTAGAAAAGAAAAATACTTCTGCAAGAGTATTTCTCCCCTCGGATGCTGTATGCCATGCACTAGGACCTGCTTTGCAATCAACGAGTCCTTGGGAAAAGAGTACTGAAATGGTCAATTTCAAGGGATGGGACACAACGTGGGGAATTAATTTACAGTTTTTAATTTAGTGCGCTGTTCCACGTGTTACCCCACGACTTGTAAAAGCTCCTTCTAGTTTGCACAAGTAGGTGAGGGTTAAATCACAGGCACGAAGAAGAAAGTGTTGTCAATAAGAAGTGCAAGTGCGATAGCACTGAGTTATCCAGCCTTTACATGTTTCGTGATTTATTTTTGTTCATTAGGAAAGGAAAGCTGTTTCGAGAGGATAATTCAAAGGTTTGGAAGAAAAGTGGTGTATGTCGTCATAGGCGATGGCGTGGAAGAGGAACAAGGAGCGAAGAAGGTGAGTGTTCCCAGGGGTACACCTTCTGCCATTCGTTTCTTGGTCCTCAAAATGCTCAGAACTGGGTCACTTGCAGACATTCTCTTTCTCTGAAACCGCTCATGGATGTGTTCTGAACCGTCAGCACTGAAAGGGGGCAGTGCAGAATTAAACATGAAGTGGGTTTTCTGAAGAGGGGCGCACACAAGCTCAAGGGTCACGGATGGTTGATGTTCACAGAACGTCGACTTTGGTGTGATGTCTGGGAGCAGAGCAGGCTCCGTGCTGTAGCCGGCATCCAGGACACAGCTAGCACGTGCAGTGTGCTCAGCCAGCAGGCCCCCTGCTGCACCCGTGGCAGACACTGCCAGGCGATCAAAATCTTGTTCTCTGAGCCTGGATGCAACCTGAGAACCTTCCAAACATCACTCCAGAAAGGCTCTCCCAGGAGACCAGGGCTGGCTTGCAGTACTATTCGCTGCCCTGGAGTCCGGCCTTCTCTTGATGATGAAGTCGCCACCTTGCCTCTCTTGAGATATGGGGAAGGGAGCTTGACGCCCAGGTTGCCCCTCATGCTTCTTTTCATTCCTCTGCATCCCTTCGAGGGTAAAACTTAGCAAAGTTTCCTCATTGGTGTATTTTAAGGAGACCACATTCCATAGTAACAACCTGGCTTGCCGGTCTTTTTCACTGTGGCTCCTTACCTCTCGGTCACATTGGTGTGCTCAGTCCTTTGGCCACGCCCAGCGCTTCTTCCCCGCCGTTGCCTCTGCTCAGCATGGAATTATATTTTCTCTAATGCTCTACTCTCATTATCTTACTTACTTTTCAAAGTCCAGTTCATGTAGCACTTTTTCTCATTTCCTTGTTTTTTAAGAGCTCGGTTACAGTGGCACTCACTCATAACATAACTGGAGAAGTTGTAAATAGCTTGGACTCCTGAGCCGGGCAGTCTGGGTTTGAATTAGAGAGCCGCCGCTTACCAGTTCCGTGACTTTGAGCAAGTTAGTTAACTCTTTTCTTTCTCTTTCCTCATCTATAAGTGGGAATAAGAATGGCTCCTAGCTGACTGGGCTGGTTTAAGGCATAGTTTAGTTCAGGTGTGTGAAGACCGTGGGACAGAGCTGGGTATATATGAAGTGTGCAGTACATGGTGGGCATTGGTATTATTTGCCTACATGCCTGTGTTAGCAGTAAAGTGTGAGCTGTAGAAAATTAGGGATATTATTTTGCTTGGTTTGTTGTTTGAGACTGTCTTCAAAATATTTTACAACTCCCTACTTCTTGGCACCGTCGGACCCTATAAATATTTCTTAAATTGGAAAGCATTAAATATGAGATTAATCAATAGGACAGTTTTCTTTCCCTTCCCCAAACACTGACTCATAGAAATAACTGTATAATTCCATAAGGGATTCAGTTCTTCAGTTTGGTTCTCCTGGGGTATTCTAATATATACCAGAAGTGGCACATAAAGTCACCAGAATATAGGTGCATCATTAAGCATGACAGGTGATCAGCCTTCTTATAGAGTCTGAAGGTGACTTAATTCACTTTCAGCGCCTCTGAATTTCAGTGAAAGCATAGAAGCTGACCCTGACTCTTAAAGAATGGATTATTTCACTTATACCTACAAATACGCAATGTGCCCTGTACTTTATGCTCTCCACGTGTGATCAGTGCTGGTGGGAACCCACACTCTTCAGATCCAGCCGAGCTTGATGCTAAGCAGTATTTGTCACTTAAACACTAGCTCTTACATCCCAGCTTTACCAATGGCCAACTACCATGGTCCTTAGGTACATCTGTTAGCCCTTTGTGCTGTCTCCATGAATTGAAATCTTTCCCAGACTCAATTTAGAATACTCCAAATACAACCCTGGAGAGTTAGAGAGAATGTTTGGTGGGAATCCAAACTCAAGTCTTCTTGGGAAAGCCTCTGGAATCTCTGTGCTATTCCTAGACAGGACCTCCTGGTGGCCAGAGGGACATGGAATGGATTAGCACCTCTGAGCAGTTAGAACTGAAGCAGCATCCACACCAGTGGGGCCCAGGGCCTGAGGTGAGGGTCTGTTCTCCAGACTTGTCTTTCTCCGTCTAGATTTACCAAGAAGTTTTCATTTCAGGAGAAGGTTGCCAAAATGTGGCTTTTTAGCTTGTGGTAGACAGAAGGATGCTTATGAAAATGACAACTTAAAATGCAAGGAATACCAGTGAAATCCTTTGGGCCCTGTGGAGGTTTCTGTGGGTGAGTCCCTTCCTAAACCTTACTGAGCAGCGTTGGTTAGCTGCTTGGCGTGGGTGAAACAACATGCCAAGTAAAGGAATTCTTGGTTTGATGTTAGAATGAAAAGTAGTAACAGGTCTGAGGTTATTTGCTCTCTTTGAAGAACAGTTCAAATTATTCCCACTGTTTATCTTTTGTTATTATTTATATTTGGGTCACACACCTATACTGGGAAGAATGATGCCGCTGCCTATAAAGAACGTGCTCTTTTAATTTTTTTACTGTGAGGACTCCTCGCTTCAACTTCCTGTTTTGAAGGAACAGGATGAGTGTATGTGATAAGCGTCCAGTAGCATCTATTTCAAACAAACTCCTTGCACCTTGAAGCCTCCCAGTGTGGGAACCTGGCCAGGAGTTAAAAGATTGTGTATGTGTGAATGTAAAGTGTACAGATTTTTCAGAAGGTTCAGATTCCTAATAATCTTTTTTTTTTTTTTTTTTTTTTTTTTTTTATTAGTTAAGGTATTACAAATGTGTCCTCATCCCCCCCATTAACCCCCAACCTCCCCCCCACACACACTCATGCTCCCATCCCCCCGTTGTCCATGTCCATTGGTTTGGCTTATATACATGTATACAAGTCCTTCGGTTGATCTCTTCCCCTTACCCCCGCCCTCCCCTACTTTCCTTCTGGGGATTGATAGCCTGATCGCTGTTTCTCAGTCTTTGGGTCTGTCCCTTTTCATCAGTCTATGTTGTTCTCTATAATCCACAAATGAGTGAGATCATGTGGTATTTATCTTTCTCTGACTGGCTTATTTCACTTAGCATAATGCTCTCCAGTTCCATCCATGCTGTTGCAAAAGGCAAGAGTTCCTTTTTTTTTACCGCAGCATAGTATTCCATTGTGTAGATGTACCACAGTTTTCTAATCCACTCATCTGCTGATGGGCACTTAGGCTGTTTCCAAATCTTAGCTATGGTGAATTGTGCTGCTATGAACATAGGGGTGCATATATCCTTTCTGATTGGCGTTTCTGGTTTCTTGGGATATATTCCTAGTAGTGGGATCACTGGGTCAAATGGGAGTTCCATTTTTAGTCTTCTGAGGTAGCTCCATACTGTTCTCCACAGTGGCTGCACCAGTCTGCATTCCCACCAGCAGTGTAGAAGGGTTCCTTTTTCTCCACATCCTCTCCAACACTTGTTGTTTGTTGATTTGTTGATGATAGCCATTCTGACAGGTGTGAGATGATAACGCATTGTCGTTTTGATTTGCATCTCTCGTACAATTAGTGACTTTGAGCAGGTTTTCATATGTCTTTCGGCCTTCTGTATGTCCTCTTTCGAAAAGTGTCTATCTAGGTCCGTTGCCCATTTTTTTATTGGATTGTTTATCTTCCTTTTGTTAAGTTTCATGAGATCCCTGTAAATGTTGGAAATTAAACCCTTATCGGTGGTATCATTGGCAAATATGTTCTCCCATGTAGTGGGTCTTCTTGTTGTTTTGTTGATGGTTTCCTTTGCTGTGCAAAAGCTTTTTATTTTGATGTAGTCCCATTTGTTTATTTTCTCTTTAGTTTCCATTGCCCTAGGAGCATTATCAGAGAAGAAATTTCTTCGGCATATGTTTGCGATTTCGCTGCCTGTGGATTCCTCTAGTATTTTTATGGTTTCCCGTCTTACGTTTAAGTCTTTTATCCATTTTGAGTTTATTTTTGTGTATGGTGTGAGTTGGTGATCTAGTTTCATCCTTTTGCATGTATCTGTCCAATTTTCCCAACACCATTTATTGAAAAGACTGTCTTGACTCCATTGTATGTTCTTGTCTCCTTTGTCGAATATTAATTGGGCATAGTGGTTTGGGTTGATTTCTGGGGTCTCTATTCTATTCCATTGATCTATATGTCTGTTCTTGTGCCAGTACCAAGCTGTTTTAAGAACAGTGGCTTTGTAATACAGTTTGATATCTGGTATTGAGATCCCACCTACTTTGTTCTTTCTGAGGATTGTTGCAGCTATTCGGGGTCTTTTTTTATTCCAGATGAATTTTTGGAACGTTCGTTCTAGATCTGTGAAATATGCTGTTGGTAATTTAATGGGGATTGCATTGAATCTATAAATTGCTTTGGGTAGTATGGACATTTTGATGATGTTGATTCTACCAATCCATGAACACGGTATATTCTTCCATCTGTTTATGTCTTCCTCTATCTCTTTTTTCAGTGTCCTGTAGTTTTCAGCATATAAGTCTTTTACCTCCTTAGTTAAGTTTATTCCTAGGTATTTTAATTTTTTTGGTGCAATGGTAAATGGGATTGCTTCTGTAGTTTCACTTTCTGTAAGTTCACTATTGGTGTAAAGAAATGCCATGGATTTCTTAGCATTAATTTTGTATCCTGCTACATTGCCGAATTCATTTATTAAGTCTAATAATTTTTTGATGGAGTCTTTAGGGTTCTGTATGTACAGTATCATGTCATCTGCAAATAAGGACAGTTTTACTTCTTCTTTTCCAATCTGGATGCCTTTTATTTCTTCTTCGTGTCTGATCGCAATGGCTAGTACTTCCAGTACTATGTTGAACAGGAGTGGTGAGAGGGGGCATCCCTGTCTTGTTCCTGTTTTTAGGGGGAATGGTTTTAGTTTTTGCCCATTGATTATGATGTTGGCTGTGGGTTTGTCATATATGGCTTTTATTATGTTGAGGTATGATCCCACAATTCCTATCTTGCTGAGAGTTTTTATCAAGAAAGGGTGTTGGATTTTGTCAAATGCTTTTTCCGCATCAATT